ATGTAAATAAGTATTTGAACAAAAAAGTACCCCTTTCACTTTAAGTTAAATTCAACTTTCAAGCTGGGAATGGGAGTTTTGGGAGAAGATTATATTTGGAAAATAGCAAGTTTTTATAGGTATACCAAGTTATACTATAAAAGTATAACTTAAGTGTTTTATAGTAAAGAGAAACATTTAGTTGTAAGTTGTAGAAGTGAAGTTTCGTGATGTGGCCTAACGTTTGACTTAACTAGATAAGTTGTAATTTAACTTGTATTATAAGACATTTTTGTAGTAGCACTAGTAGTAGGCCTACTACTAGTGATAAAACTACAAGTAAAAAAATCGTTTTTGACGACTTAGAAGTTTATTGCCCCAGGCATCAAAAATTGATAAATATTAACTTATTTCATACAAACATTTTTAATAGTCATCATTATATTCATAAGTAACTTTAATCACTTAGAAAATGTTACGTTGGTATATAGTAACAGAATTATAGGCTTTTCACACAAAATTCCTGAGGTTGGTGTGATGTCACAGTCGTGATTTTGCCTGGCAACTTGATCCCAATCGTGACAAAAGGGCAAACAGTAGTGATGCGAGTACAGCTGCGTGTATGCAATTTATATAGGTTATTACTGCTAAAACTGCTGTGCAGATTCTTCAATTATCTTTCATATATTGGTGTTTGATGGTCAATTTATCAATTGCAATGTGTTATCGATACGTGGAGAAGTTGTCGGCCGAGGCATTAGAGAGATATTGAGTAAAGTTACAATTAACTGGGCTTGATTCTTGTCCCTACCAGCACCCTGCTGACTCGGGGATCAACGACCCAACAGAATGGCCCAGTGTACGATTACCTTGTTAAAGAAAAATTGGAAGACAACATTTACATGATATAAAATGAGCTGAACACACATAGTTATAGTCAGACTTTGGCTGCCACAGCTTTCCTGTGTTCTGCAGTTGATAGCTATCAGCCACAACACTCTTCTTTTCAGTAGCTTGTTTTTGTGGAAAAACATGTACTAACAAGTAAACTACCAGGTCAAACTAGTTTCAAACAGTTATAGAATCCCACAAATGTTTGCTTTATGCTTACTATTAATGTGAGTTGGAGGACTGGGTATCAAACAGAAGGAAAGTACAATCTTTTTAACTTGTTATTGGTGTAATAACTCTTCATCATATTTGTAGGTTTGGAACAACACAAGTTTGTCACAAACACAGATAGTGGTTACAAATATGAGTCTAGACAGCAGGCAAGTGTACAGAATGAACGAAATTTCCCCATCATCTGGCTATTTGTTTGCCCCTTTACCTCAGTTGCTATGCGGATATTGCATCGTGGGAGGGCAAAGTTCTAGAATGTCCAACCTCAAGTATGCTATGCAGTCATACCTGCTGGCTCTTCCGTTTATATCAGTCGTGTTTGGGCATGAAGGCTAAAGGCAAAATATACACATTGAAATTAACAACTGTTTGTTCACAGTTTTAGAGTAAAGGAAATTTTTGGTTTCTTCAAAAGGAGCTAATTTTTATTTGTTTATGGAGATTTTCACAAAGTCTTTACAATTTGAGTAATAGCATAATTAAAATGAAAAACAGCAGTGTACGTTTATTTTAAGAAACCATACTTAATATCAAGTATTCACCTGAAAAGGTTTACAGGTCACTTGTATACTGAATCAGGAAGAAAGAAAAAGTATGAATAATTTTTTCCCAGTAAACACGTGACTGCCATGATCATTTATAATCAAAATACTTTCGTGTCATGGTTTTTGTGTTAATGTTGTCTTTCTGTTGATCATTGACACTATCTATGACCCTTGTTGCTGTATGATTGTATCAACAAATTCAACCCTTGATATTCCATAAAACTACAAGACTTAGAATTCTCTGTTCAACTACTAATGTTTTATCTTATTGCTTAAAATATTTCAGTAAAAATAAACCAAATGTCCCTTACCTCATTTATTTTGCTTATCTTATGCTGTAGTGCACAATCTTCTCAGAAATCTGTCAGTAGTTTCCGTGTTTGCTAAAATGATTTGTGTATTACCATTTTTCTTACTCCTGAACTATTAATTTTAGCACACGTAGAAGGTCTGCACTTTTTTGTTCACAGGTTTTGATACAAATGCACTTGTGCATTTCATAATGAAATACCAATCAATCTGCTGAAAGAAACATGTAAATTGTGTTTGAAATCATGAAAAGCAAAATGTCTGACATACCCGTATTTAATAGCGAGTCAATACTGTGTTGTGACCTCTGAGGACAGAACCACTAGTATCCATCATGAGTATTTTTTTAGTGTATAATCCAGTTTAAACTAGTTTATCAGAAATGGGACACTGATGCAAACAGGATGAATGAGCTATTGAATAATGGATACCATACATTTAAATTAGACTAAAAATTGTAAGGAGTGTTGGGTATGACACGTAATAACTTCCATATCCACATATCGAAGAAGGTGGGTTCACTTTTCAGTATGTGCATATTTTATGATCAGCTTAGCCTCCTTACCAACATCTGTTGCTAAATTGGTCTCTTGAAAACTACTATTTGTACTTAGAAGATCAAAAATGGTGACTAACAGGAAGCAGAGCTGTAGAAACATTGTATACACGAGTAAACTTGGCTCTGAAAATTTTTATTGGTAGGCAAAGATTTTCCCTCAAAATAAATTGATTTACAAACAAAAATAAGTGATTTCCTATTTGATATATGAATTATTATTGCCTGAATATAATGCACACCCAATTTTGAAAGGTTAAATTGAAGAAAATTTGTAGTTTTACACATCAGTCATACAAAATGTACTGAATAGTTTCTAAATACAGTAACCAACTATTGATATATTAAACATTTTTTTGAAATCTTTCATTGAATTTTTTTTTGTGTGTGTGCATGTCAATTTTACCAAATTTATTGAAAAGTTTAAATGTGGTAAGATACTTAAGCTAATCATCGATCTTCGCATAAATCTTCGTAATTGCTTTGTTTCATCCGGTGTATTGGATACGCAACATTTTTTGAAACCTTTAATGGTTTTCAGTAGTAGCTTCTAACAAAATGGAACGTGCATGAATATACTGCGTGTATTATATTTGAGCAAATATTGTAGTATATTACAGTTTTATATCAGAACTGTATACTTGTCTTTATTATTTGAACTTTTAAGTACCATATTACTATTTACCAGAGATGTATCTAATTTGTAATTGACTAACCTGGAGTACTATAGGGATTCTGGAACTTTTTTCTTAGTCATCATTTACATGTTCTAACCACTTAAAATCGTTTATCTCTCAATACAACCTCACAAGGAAATGGAAAAGTGATAATTAGTTTTAAAAAATGTAGATATGCCAGACATTTTTTGAAATATGGATAACTAATCATTTACCTAAGACTACTACATAGTGGGATGTTCATATCATTGTTGTTTTGTCATATTTTGATATTATTTTCATTACTAATACAGTTTCACTTGTTTATTCTTTTTTTTTTTGTTATGGGAATTGTGCATTTATTTACAATGTTGAGCATTTAGCAAAACATGATCCTGTCTTTCAAGGATCGTCTTAAGAATAGTTTTTTCATTGAAATTAATTTGTTTATTTTACATAGTTGGCGAAAAAATTGTCAGATTGGCCTAAAAAATTTTATTTGTTGGTCCTTACGTAAAAGGTTTATGAAGCTAGTTTAGGGCAAATTTATGGTTTAAACATTTTAAAAGTATCCAGATATTTTCTTGTGGATTTATTTTGAATTATTTGTCAAATAATCCACCTTAATTAAAGTGAGGAAGTATTAGAATGAAAGGTTTCAAAATTGAAAAGACTGCACACAAAGTAAGCCTAATTTGCATTAGATATACATTTCCATTGTGGGATTCTTCAGGTATGTTGCTAAGTACATGCTTTTCCCAAAGAAAATGGTAGTGTTCAATGAAAAACAAGAGGGAGTCCTCAATAGCTGTGGCACTTGAAATGATTTTAGGCAGGATTAGAGTAAATTAATCTATGGTATCTTTTTTTTACCTTTTTATTAGCTATATTTTTGCATGTCAGCAATAAAAAGTGTGGGGCACACGTATGCCCGATTTTATTTTATTACTCATTGGGATCTCTACCAGTCAACCCTCAAATTAAAATTCTTTTTGTCGGGGTTACAGTAAATTAATTTATGAGACCTTGGGCTCGTGAAATACATCAGTCGAAAGGGTTTAACCTCCTGAGTCCAAAACTGTAACAAGATGTCAAATTGATCAAGAGAAGATGAAGCTATGAGCTAAAAATGAGGTTACTGCTTATGTAGATAAAGATGATGAGTGTATGGATTTGATGAACATACACTTTCGGAATGCACTTGACAAGATGCCACATAAAAGGTGTGTTTAAAAACATATAGGTATGGGGGTGACCAACCTGGCTGACTACAGTTCAGTATATAATTCTTTTATTCTCTAACTAGGAAGTTTAAATATAAAATGTATATGTGGAGCTTGACAAAGAAATATAACTATACCCCAATAACAATGGATTTTGAGTTACTCACACATTGCAAATAAGTCAATCAAAAAAGATAAATTAATTGAAAATGTTTGATTTGCTATATAGCCTGGGAAATCTTTCATTGACATTGCAGCATCATAGATTTCAGGCTGGGTGTAATAAGATTTATGTGGCTACGCTTTTATTGACATTCTAAAATATATTTCCTTCACTTCCATTCATCAGATTGTGGTATTGTTTTTTTATTGGATCACACCATTAGGTAAAAGTTGAAGCTAGGTTTTATGTTGTGGCGATTAAGATAATATTAGTATCAAAAGTTTTTTAAAGTTGTATTTTATACATAAAGTTGATGCATCTCGACTAAGCAGCTGTTGTAGTGTCTAATGTCTCCAAGATACAGATGGCTGTTTGTGACAGTGGGTTTTGAACATATACATATATCATGATGATTTTTATATTTTTTCCACTAAATGTATTATCAAGTGTTTTTAAATAAGTGCAATAATTTACAGTGGCGCAAGAAACGTATGAGGAGGTTAAAACGTAAGAGGAGGAAGATGAGGGAAAGGTCTAAGTAATTTCAACACCGTTGCTGTAAGTCAAATTATTTGTTTGAATCCTTCTCTAAGATTTATATCAATGTCATTCAAACAATTGTTCCACAAAATAAAAAAAACTGGTTAGCTTCATTTTGGTAGAGAAAATGGTGAATTGTTTTTAACTACTTTTTTATAATTGAGTGACTTATCATTGAAACTTATTTTTTTGATTTCATGGAGTATTCTCCTTGAAGTGATTTCACAGATAGTACTTTGTTTGGTAACAAGGTATTTATTCCAAAGTTACTTAGTTTTTGGATAATCTCAAATTCTGTTGATTTGGGGGGGTCAGATAGGATGATTATGTACTATTAAAGATTATTTTTTTTTCTCCTTTTAAGGTGTAAGGAAGAACTGAAGATGGAATTCTTAGTGCAATTGTTGGATGAAATGATGGCCACATTTGTGGTTCTGATGGAACTGCAACATTCAGCACTGAACTGTGTTTACGAGATCTATTCCTAGACCATACTATTTTGTTTCAGTCATCCTTTCATGGTGATAAAATGCCTTTATTACTAATTAAAGGCTATTTACTTTTAAAGCTGTAAATGTATTTGGCGAGAAATGATTTTTTGTCATAATAAACTGACCCTCCAGACATATTGTGTCTTGGTTGTATATGTGGGTCTTGACACAAACAACTTGATTTCCTTTTGTAATGGTTTTATTTTATTTTGAGTTGGGTTAATTTTTTTTTACTACGGTTTTATTACTTGCTGACAATGTCCCCACCACACACACACAGAGTAAAAGAAATTATTTTTATGATGATAGAATGTACTGTTAAAAACTGAATTTGAAATTAAGTTTTCAAAAAATTGAAGATTTAAACTAATCACGCACAAAAAGATAAATACTGTTGAGCAGAGTTAGTAAAAAAAACTTATAAGTAATGGGTGCCTTGTGTTGAAATGTTTGGATTTAGGATTAAATACAAATATCTGAACAAGGCTATGTGGTGTTATTAATGAGAGTTTTTCAAGTAAAATTAATGGTTGGTTGGTTTATTTTTTACAAGTATTCAGATTCTGCTGTACTTGCAAAACTATTTAACAAACTGTAGATGGCCCAAGTGATATGACATGTCAAAGCCAGTATAACTGGGTTTCAATACCTGTGGTGGGCACAACATAAATAGCCCGTTGTGTAGCTTTGTGCTTAACAATACAAATTACTGGGAGCTTATTGGATATATAGAGTAATTTGTGAAATCCCATAATTACATATTAAAAATTTAGCACATTTGACATAAGTTTAGGATATATATATTAGTATTAGAAAAAAGAAACGATGGGATCATGAAAGTATATCTAGACCATGTAAAAAATTTAATATTTCTTCTGGAAAACCGTTCAGTTGCACACACAGACTTTTGACATGTGCTTTATCCTTTACAGTTAATTTACTTGTCATCTAGCCTATAATATTCTAACACAGCTTTCTATATCTAATTCCTTAGAGATTTACAAGAACGAAAAGAGTATATAATAATAGTGTTTTAACCACAATGTTGGCTATATTCAAGAATGGGGTTCTGACCACTACTGTACTTGCTGTGTCCTACCTAGCCTGATAAACTTTGAATTTAGTGAAACAGGTCGCTGACTGTGGATATGGTGAACATAGTGATGTTGAAATACTATTATTATACACTTTTTTTCTAACTCTTGAAAATCCCTAATGGACTGAATATATAATATAGTTAGCCTAATGTCTGATGGCAAGTAATCATGCTTTGCCAGCTTGAAAAAGGTGTTCACATCATAACACTTTAGCCTTTGTTTAAAAATATTAGTAATCCGTTAAACATACAGTTAAAGACCTAGTAAAAATATGTACTGCAATATATAAATTACAAGTTTTAAAGTTTTTTTGTTTTGTTTCTCAAAGGTTTCTGTAACTTTGATAAAAATTATTCAATGGGGACAAGCAAGATAGTTTCTTAGGTTATTCTAAACTTGCACTTGAAATAAACATGTAAAACGATTTTCAGGCAGAAATTTATCTGTGTGAAAATGATTTCGATATCAGAAGTTGAAAACTACCAAAAGATAAAAGTCCTGTCTCCAAGTTCCGCACCAATTTGACAACCAGTGGGTATCTTGAGACAAGCTGGGGTGGTCACTAGAGAACGTGTAGACATTCACTGACTGGTCATCTGACAACCACTGGGTATCTTGAGACAAGCTGGGGTGGTCACTAGAGAACGTGTAGACATTCACTGACTGGTCATCTTCAGGTGCTAGTCATGGTTTCCTTTGACAAAGACATGATATTTGTAATAAAGTATATTGTTATGACTGCAGATACATGGGTGCACTAGTATTGTCATTGAGATCGAAGCCAAATGCGATAGTGCTAGCCTAGATAACTGCGCTGCTGACTTGGTCTAAGAATATCATACTTGTAAGGGTGAATATTATCTGGAGTTTTGGGAGGATTAGGAGCCACCCTTTTATACTGATAATTTTAACTATTGTTCAATAAAGGCAGTAGGTACCTGTAGCGCCCCCCCCCCCGAAAAAAAAAAGACACCAGCAGTGGATACTACTGCATCATAACAGTTCGACTTTGCAGTGACAACCAAAGCTTGACCAATGGCCACCATAGTTGTCGACGGGGCAGCATGCCCAGTTTCTGTAATTGGTTCTCTTACATAGTGGAAGACGCCTCCAAAAGTACTTAAAGAGTATGAAGGTATAACTCCTTTTAATTTGCCAGCTCACTGTTTGCATGATTATCTGTTTCTAAACAGCAACAGTTGGTATTCACTCCATTCTGTTTAATGCCACAGTAAATGTAGAAGGGTTAAAAACAAGAAACAGCTGAAGTTCTGACTAGTTTAAATTAGTGGAGCTTGAGTTTGGTCTGGCCATTAGCTCTGGCAGGTGCAGAAGCCAACTTTCATCCAGTGGTATGATAGCTAGTTCAGACTACTGTTGAATTGGTAACACATGGTATGTGTCTCTCATGATACATGGGGCACCCCAGTGGCACAGCGGTATGTCTGCGGACTAACAACGCTAAAATCCGGGTTTCGATACCCATGGTGGGCAGATCACAGATAGCCCATTGTGTAGCTTTGTGCTGAATTACAAACAAACATGATACATAGGTGAAAGATTGAATTTTAGTAGTGAATGGAGCATCTGAGACTGTACTGGCGTTCTTCAGTGTTACAGTTAATCCGAGTGAAGTCCACACTTAATTAATTAATGCAACCTTCATTCAAGAAACTAAGTGGTGAGATATATATACCCCAATTTTATCTTGGCATTCTTGCTTGTAAGCAAAGATATCGTCAATCTTAATTGGGGTATCAATATCTTAGACATAAAAAGATTGCAGATGTCAACTAGTTTTGCTTGTGTAACAAAGAGAGACCATCCATTGCTGACTAGATTAGGTCAAGGAAATGGGACACAGACATGCATATTGAGAAAAACGTTGTTGTAGCTTTGGTCGTGTTAGAGATGTACTGTAGTATTTTGCTGTCTGTGTCGTTGGAAAGTCATAAGGCATTTGCTCAAGTAGTTGTCTAAAGTGATGCAGACCTGCAAAGTATTCAGGCGATTCAAATCCGTATTTATTGAGTATTATTTTTGAATTTATTGTATTTAAACAATACCCATAAATAAAATGAATTATACTTTATTGAAAATAAAGTATATTTATATTACATATAAATTGATTTTCCCAAACAGTACCTTTAGCACAAGTACCGATACTTAGCCTGACTTGACATCATTTTGAAAGATCGGGTCTTAGGACCCTAATAAATCGTTGTCAGTTTATGTAGAGTTTTTACAACTTATAGCCTGAAGTAATGACTACATGGAAAAAAAAAAAGTTAATGAAGATCAATAAAGTTGAAATTTACTGAATATATAAATGGAACATTCTGATCAATGATAAAAATAAATTGAAATTCTGAGATTAAAGGGAGTGACGAGAAAGGTTTAAGTTAATCTATCAATTCAAATTATTTCATGGATTTTAAAACGATTAATTATGTTGCACTCTTGGTTTTACTAAGAGCCAAGGCTCTAAGATACTGTTACCGCCAACAACGAAAATCAATCGTTGAGCGTTTTAGTCATGCTAAGATCCGCCTAAAAGTAACATACGGTAAATTAACATTTTAATTCTTTAAGTTATTTTGAAATGTGAATGATAGTGTGATAAATTCCCCAACAATTTAGTGTAGAATATCCTGTTTCAAAATAAAATTAGGCATCAACATTGTTGATACTTGTTCTGTTATTTCAAAGGTGAATGTTGAGCTTTGCCTGCGTGCGCAGCTTTTTAAACGGGAAACAGATGAGCGCTCGGACTGACACTGCGGTTCGCAATAAATATATAGGATTAAACCAAGGGAATATAGTGTGAAAGAGATTCCACATTTGTTAAGATAAAAATTATCTCTGGAGTGCTACTGACAATATTTAATATGTTTATAAGCTGATAGAATTCCAATTAATTTTTAATTCAAACTGTGTACTTTTACTTATAATATTATTTCGAAACGTATATTAAATAGCTTATATTATATTAACCCTATCACGTTTATATAGCATCGGTGGTTCAGTGGTAGAATGCTCGCCTGCCACGCGGGCGGCCCGGGTTCGATTCCCGGCCGATGCAAATATCTATTTTACATTTAATTTATTTATCACGTTAAAACTATTTCTAATTTAACTTCACCAGTGAAAATTATTTTTACAATTACGTTTTCTTTATAACATTTGTAATAAAGTTGATCAACACGTTATGTCATTTCATATTTTTTGTTACTTTATATCTGATTTCAACATATGTTTATAATGTGTCATGTAGCCATGGAATCTGAACTAAACAAGATAGACAAATCTTTATGTTTACAGTTTATTCCTCGTTTAGCATACTTAGCATGAAAATGTAAAAAATAATCATAATAGTGTTAGTATCCAATGGTGTAACCCAAGCCTGAACGAGAAAAGACATTTTCAACCTATAAAGAAATAAATGAAAAACAAGCAGTAGGAGCAGTGCGATGTGTCAAGAATGGGAACAAATTAACAACAATTTAATCGAATCATGCGCTAATACATAATTATGTATATCATTTAGTTTGTAAGATTAAATGTTCACCATGCGTAGAAAGAGTAATCTAGATAGTTGTTTATAAAATATTATTATAACATAAAATAAATCCCAGAACATTATACATATATATTCGGCCACGGGTTCATTAAGCAGGTTCTGTATGCTTGCATATAAATTGACCAGTGTGATACAGAACAGTAACATATGTTAACTAACTCCTCGGTTAGTATTTTTCACTAATTGGCATTTAACCGCGTTATCTTGCACGAAAGATAGCTCATGGTGTTATAAAATAGATAGCTGTCTTTTCTGTTAGTAATTCATATAATTTGTTGGGGTTTCAGTGCACTTTAATAGCAGTGGACGAAGGTCACCCGCAAGAGAGTGGTAAGTGTATCCTGGCTTTGTGATCATCATCTTGTTGTGGTTTTATTTTTTATTAAAAGCTAGGATCTCCCCTGTTTGGCAACTTCTGGCTAAAGTTTCAGATTTGGGGAAGATTTTTGAAACTTGATTTAGTTTTCACTTATTTGTGAAGACTTGTGCTTTGATATCTTTAAAGTAAAGTAAAGGTTTTCTCCCCGAACCGCAAATGAAAAAAAAAAATTGAAGGTCTCATCTCGTACATAAGAGATAATAAAATAGCGATGACCCTTACCTTTGATACTCGAGTGTGTGTGATAACTACCATTTGTAGCAGTGTTTCTGACGAAACTTTTCTTTTTTCAAAGTGTTCTGTACTGTCCTGAGACTTAGAAATGTACCACGATAATTACTAAGAATTCCCAAATTTATCTTTTCTGTAATCCTCAGTGGATGTACGAAGACGCTAAACTCTACAGCTTACGTGTCATCTTTGCAAATGTGTATAGTGAATTAAAGTTACATTATTACTAAACACTGTTCTTATATTGCTAACAAACAGTTGCTTAAAACAGTATGAGGAATATGAATAATTACGTATGACTTATTATCTCGTACATACGAGATGAGACCATACAATTTTTTTCCACTTGCGGTTCAGGCCTTCCATACTATTTTATTAAACACACGAGTTGTTTTAACTTGTAGTTCCACTTTCTTTTTCTATGTTACACTGGACTGGCGAGAGAGAACCGACAACGGTTTCTCTTCATATTGTTCTCTCTTGCCAACCCAACACACCCATTAAAAACAAACTTTTTTGTTTTTATTTATTAAAGATTGTAGATTTTACATTTTTGTGAATTGACTCCTTTTTGACAAACTCAATCAGACCTCGGAAAGTAACGGACCAATACTCTGCAATATAATATACATTTAATCTCTTGATATCGTGCCCTATTTGACTACTCTGCGGGAATTGTCTGCACCAGAGTATACCACATCACATGCTGTCTGCATTGTGAGTATGCCCTGGATAAAACCACAACGATTATCAACCATTTACGTGCGAAGACGTAAGTATGGTTAAATAAAAAGATGTTAGGGGGAGAAAAAAGTAATTTTCTGTGAAAAATATGAAATTGCGAAAACGTAAGGTACAATTTGTTTGTTTGTTGGGAATTTCGCGCAAAGCTGCACGAGGGCTATCTGCGTTAGCCGTCCCTAATTTAGCAGTGTAAGACCAGAGGGAAGGCAGCTAGTCATCACCACCCAC